TAAAAAATTCTGAACTAGATTTTTAAATTGAATAACCTATAATCGAAATCCGGAAATCCGGCCGGATAGCCGGATAACAAAAAAAAAAAGAAACGGCCGGATAAGCCGGTTTAAGGATTTCTTCCGGATACCCAGCAGAAATTCATCAAGCCAAAGCAACAGTCCCTTTTACTTCTAAAACTTTAATTGATGGATGTACCTTGTTTACGCAACTAAGAGGGAATTTACGACAATTTTTCAGACAACTTTTAGTTGAAAGCAACAATCGCCTGGTGTAAACGGTCTTTCAACTAATCGCTTTTAACGAAGTTGGTCGGTTGCTTACTTTCGTTCAACTTTTGATTCAAATAATCGCCTGTGAAAGTTGAATCATGTAAATTCGCAATTAGTTCAAATTTGCAAGCATACGCGCCGCATGAGGTACATTATTCTGAAGTCAACCCTGCAAGACAGCTATGTAAGTATCAAATGAGTCCTCATTTTATCATTATCACTAATTAGCACTAATAATCAAACTACTAATTTTTGTCGTTATAAACTCCTCAGTTCGGGAAAAAGCAAATAAGTAGAAAATCGAAATTTTTACATTTAAAAAAATTTTATAAATACAAAATTCTTATATGTAGTGCAAATATATAACACACGTTCTACATATGGATATGTATAACATTGCTGGTGCCGGCGTTGAAGGTGATGTTGGTGACGGCCTTAAAGTGATAGTGGCGATGTTGAAGGTGATGGTGGCGATTTTGCTGGTGGAGGCGTGGAATGCTGACGGGGCCGGTGTTGAAGGTGATGGTACGGTGTTCACGGTGATGGTACGATATTGGTTGTGGCATTAAAGGTTGTGGAGGATATGTTGATTGATGATGACTGCAATGATGGCGTTAAAGATTGTGGCGGCGATGACAATGTTGATTTTAATTGTTGCAAATCTGTAATAAGGAGAAAGTCAGTTAAAATGCACAAATAAATTAGTAATTTACATATGTATGTACATACCTTAAAAATAATAATGCAAAGGCAACGGGAACAAAATGAAATTTGAAATATGTATTTATAAAATTATAAAAAAATTTATAATTTCAAATTTTGATCAAATGTGACATTTTTCATCAAAAGCCTACTGTCATAAAAACTACCATATCGCACAGAATTTCTATAGAAGTCTAACAAATGGAAAATTTTTCACACTTCGAATAAAAAATTTATAAATATGTGCGGGCGATAGCTAAACAGTTGCGTAGGTGTGTGTAAATCTGTTGAATTTGAGGGGAAACTGCTCATCCATGCCTTGCAGGGAACTTTTCGACTAAATCTATTCATTCCCACGACAGCCGGTTCTACGTACCGGAATGACTCGGGTTTCACCCGACCAAGGGCTGTTGTTTCGGCGATCTAACCCCGTTTAGGTCGGCGAAGTATCTCAGAAGTTGTCCGTCCATAGGGCAACATTCACTACGCATTCTCCTACTCAGGGCTGGCATCGAGTCAAACCCTGGGCCAGAAATATACACCTGCTGTGTATGCCGAAGACGTTTACACCACAACTCCACCTCAGTCAAGTGTAATGCCTGCGAGGGGTGGAGTCACCTCAGGGTCTGCTCGGGACTACGGACACACAGACAGTGGACCACGTCGTACGTGGCCCCCTGTTGCTCAAATAGAGCAGCCTCCACGGCAACCCACAGTCCGCCCGTGCAGCCCCACACACTCACACAGCAACCACACACAGTCGCCACAACACAACAACATACCACAGCCACCACAGACCACATAACACACACAACCACACCACCACCCACACGCCGCCGCCAACAACTCTTGGTTCCCCCTACAATCTGCACGGTATGTCAGACCAGAATATTCCGTAATGTGACATCAGTCAAGTGCAACACCTGCCTTGGCTGGTGCCACTTTAGGGCATGTTCAGGTCTGCGCACCACGCGAGATTGGACGGGGAACTTCGAGGGCCCGTGTTGCGCTGCCCGGTCGCTGGCATCAATTGCGACGCCCCCCAATACCACCACAGGGAGGCAATCACCCCAGCAGCACACACAGCCAACGGCGGCAAGAACTTACACTTCACTCACACCCCACATCACAACACGTCTCCCGAACCACATGAAGCTCCTCCAATTCAACTGTAACGGGCTACAGAGCAAGATTGAGGAGATAACCGCCTTTATGTGTCGGCATGGTATATTAATAGCTGCGGTCCAAGAGACGAAGTTGCACAGCAATTCAACTTTGTTGAATTGTGCCGGGTACAACGTGCACCGTCGAGATCGCGAGCGAGATAATGGTGGTGGCTTAGCGTTCATCACGCACCACACCGTGCAGTATCGTCTTATCGAAGCAGACATCGACCGCAGGGATACCACCCTAGAATGTCAGGGCATCGCTATCCGGTCAGGCGATGTCGGGCTCGAAATATTTAATATATACATACCCCCTGTCACCTGCTGCCCGGCAGGATATCACCCTGATATAGGTGCGCTCCTCAGAGGTGAAAACCGTATGGTAGTAGGTGACTTTAATGCGCACCACGATCTTTGGCACTCAAGCCTGTCAAACGATCGTAGGGGAACAGACTTGGCTGAGCAGATAGACGATTCGACATTCTGCACAATGAACGACGACGCACCCACCAGGATTATGGGTAACTGCAGTAGCTCGCCAGATATCACAATAGTCAGCGCTGGTCTGATAAACAGCATAACGTGGCGACCTATGCTGACTCTAGCATCAGACCATCTACCCATAGTCATCTCGATTGATAAACCAACCGACTTTGCCTCCGCCAAACACCGGACCTATGTCAACTTTTCTAAAGCTGACTGGAAAGGTTACGCGGAGTTTACTGAAAACACCTTCACGTCGCTCCCCACACCAACCGACGTCCACCTCGGTGAACGTAAGTTCCGCAGGGCTATCACTGCTGCTGCAGCCCGCTTCATACCGGCAGGGTGCATATCGGACCCACGTCCAAACTTCCCTGCCGAAGCGGCTGTTTTAGCAAATGAGCGTGACAGCCTTCGTCAGGCCGATCCCGGAGATCCCCGTATCAGGGATCTCAACGCGGAGATTCGGCAACTTGTAAACGTACATAAGCGGAAGAAGTGGGAGGAGCATCTGAAGACTTGCAACTTCACCTCTGGTGTGAGCAAGCTATGGTCAACCGTGAGGTCATTGTCTAATCCGACGAAGCACGACGACAGAGTCGAAATTTCCTTCGGCGACCATGCTTCGTCGGACCCGGAGCGATGCGCGAGCTATTTTAGCCGGCAGTTTATACTGCATCCTCCGGTGGACAAAGCCAAGCGTCGAGTGACCAGAAGGCTGCACAAACTGCCAACAAATTGTGCCCCCCTTGCTTTCACTTGCGGTGAAGTTCAGGTGGCCATCGGGAAGGCGAAAGCCTCCAAAGCCATGGGTCCCGACGGTATATGCATGCTGATGCTGAAAAATTTGGGTCCTGCGGGGGTAGCGTACCTAACGGAGGTCCTCAA